TACTCACAGCCTAATAAAGTTTTAGAACAAGTTAGGAACAGCTTAGTAGCAGTTTATTAACAGCTTAGTAACAGTTTACTCACAGCCTAATAAAGTTTTAGAACAAGTTAGGAACAGCTTAGTAGCAGTATATTAACAGCTTAGTAACAGTTTACTCACAGCCTAATAAAGTTTTAGAACAAGTTAGGAACAGTTTAGTAGCAGTTTATAAACAGCTTTTGAACCTTTTAGCAATTGATTTTTTTTTTTTACAAGGGTCAGCCAAAAACTAAGTGCGAGAGGGGGAAAACACTAATGCAAAAAGGATTTAATAGAAATAGATTTATCTTTCTAAATGTGTGATTAAAAATGTATTTATGATCATACTGAAGAGTGTGTGTTTTTTCTACTAGGATTAAAGAATTAATTAAATGAACACAATTAACTGTAAAACTTGCAAAACTTTAACACTGGCTAAAAAGTAAAACTCAGAAATAATCTTTTATAATTTTATTTAAAATACGTTAAAATGTTTTTCAAGTTGTATTTCTAATTCCAGTGATCAAATATTTATTTTTTTCTTTTTGAGTGACACCCCTATAAAGTGCTCCCCACAAAATAAATAATTAGAAATCTAAAAATCAAAGCGTCCTTACCAACATGGTGGTATTGCCTGTGATAAAAGTCCAGCCAGTCATAAAGGGCCCCCACCTGCAGAGGAGACAAACTGGACACATCATCTATCAGTCCACTTTCTGTAAAGTCTCCCGTGATGAAGGCCAGGGAGGCATCTGTCCCTGAAAACACAAACAGTGTTGGACACAGCAGCACATGAGCATTATTGGTTAGAACTCAGTCAGAGGCTGCATCACCTGCCAGAGAGTGATAAGCACCACCGGGTCCATAATGTTTGTGTCCTTTCTGCACATCAAAAACCTGCCCCAGAAGAGCCAAATAAAGACCTTTGCTGCCCTCCTCTCCATTGTATAGAGACAGGTCCCTCCTGTTTAATAGCCGGGCTCCTGGGGGCCCCTTCTCTGACTCATTTCCCACATTAACAGGCGAATCGGGAGTGAAAAACAGCACTGCCGCTAAAACAGACAAACACGTCACCAAAGCGTAACTCAGCATGTTTGGTTTTCCGTCTAAGAACATCGCTTTATTCTTTTAATGTGGTGATTCCTCTAGAGCCACCGGTGACTGAAAAGCGCATGCGCGAACGGCTCAGCGATCCACCGGCGACTGAAGAGCGCATGCGCGAAAGGCTCAGCGATCCACCGGTGACTGAAGAGCGCATGCGCGAAAGGCTCAGCGATCCACCGGTGACTGAAGAGCGCATGCGCGAACGGCTCAGCGATCCACCGGTGATTGAAGAGCGCATGCGCGAGCAGCTCAGTTATCCACCTGCTGTTTCTCTTTGGTGTCAAAGAAACCAGATGTTTGCATTACCGCCACATGCTGTTATGGAGTGCGGCTCAGAGATGTCTCAGTTTAACTATGTTCTGTCTTTGTTCAAAATAAAAATAAAAAAATAAAATATTAATACTTTTATTGAATTTACTCGTAGCATTTTAATAAGATAAAATGTTTATTTCATTCTTCTAAATTCCTTCAGCATTAATATGTCTCTCATATATTTTACTCACAAAAATAATATTTCCTATTGTCTCATTTCCTTCGAATATTGTCAGTTTCTACAGAGCCTCAGAACTGACAGAAAAAATGAAAATCCAGCAGTAAAACTACCGTATTTCTGTTATGTTCTCCCTCATTTTCCAGCGGTAAACAGAAAAATAATGCATGAATGTTTAGTATTAAAATCTTTATCAATAATAACAAAGTTTAGTTAGATATTTATATACTCAGATTAAATCACAACCATTAAAAGCCATCTATACATCTTTATCATTCTCATGAGCAGCCTGAAGCAGCCACACCAATATAGCCACACTATAGATAAGTGAAAAATAAGTTCTCAGCGCCAACATAAAAATAATCTGTCGTTTAATAAAGTTATAGTGAAACCTCACAGGACAATATTTTCACAATCCTAAACCTATTTTATTTTCATTTGTACATTGATACAGTTATGTTTTTTTAAGCTGTTATTATTTTGAGACAATGCTTTTTGATGTAAGGTTTAAAGTTGATGTATACTTAACTTTTTCGCATTACAATAACTTTTTTTGTACACATTTTATATTAGAAGTTTCATTAAAAATGTAAATGATAATCTTGTCTGAGATTTAAGTCAGAATTCTGAGATTAAAATGAGAATGCTGCCTTTTTCCTCATATTATACTGAAATAAAATGTAAAAATCAGTTAACTTTTTGATTTTTTTTTTAGTGGCCCTAATCCTCTTCTGTATAAACATACTATTAATGTTTATTTTAATCTTTCTATTCGCTCTTTAGCTGTTGACGCATGCACAAAAAACTTTCCGGGGTTTTTTTCGGAAATAAAAACGACATACTTTTGTGCAGTTTTTGTTTCATTTTAAGGTTTTTGTATTATGTCAGTGTTAATGATAGGAATAGTAGTTAGAGCACGAGGTCAAACAGTTTATGTACCGGAAGAGAATTTATAAAGCCTAAAATAATCTGCGCATGCAATCAAAGGTGAATTTCAAAAGATTATTAGAGCTATTCCCCCAAATATTTTATGCACAGCTAAAGGTTTTTATGAGAACCCTGTTTACAGAACCCCTGTGCTACCTGGACTTCTGATTAATAGGCACAGTATCACAGATAGCAAGCTAAAAAACTCAAAAATTAGGGAATGCTTTATTAGTATCTTGTTTCCTTTTGTATCAAACCCATATTTTAAATCACATTTCTTTTCCAAGTCTGAAAGAGTTAAAATTAGAACAAATTAGTTAAAGCTTCCCATTTCTCCTAAACCCCAGGAAGTCCACTTTAAAATCTTTACAGGTGTTTACCCCTCTAAGGAATTTCTTAGACTTCGATTTGCCATTGATGATAACACTTGTTTATTTTGTGACGGTGATATTGAATCTACTGAACATCTTTTCAATGAATGTATGTTTGCAAAGGTTTGTGGGATGACGTGCACTACTGGCTTTTCCCCAAAATTCCAAACTTACCTCAATTCTCTAAGAAAGATGTTATTATTGGGACTCTGAGAAAAGAAAGGAAGTTTGAAAGACTACTAAATATAATAATCATCATAGGCATGCTTTTCATTCACAAATGTCCATCCATCCATCTATTTTCTAGCACGCTTATCCCAATTGGGATCACGAGGGGTGCTGGTTGCATATCTCCAGCAGTCAATGGGCGAGAGGCAGGGTACACCCTGGACAGGTTGCCAGTCAATCTCAGGGCAACACAGAGACAAATAACCATTCACACACACACCTAAGGGGACTATAGAGAAGCCAATTAACCTCAGTTATGTTTTTGGACTGTGGGGGGGAGGAAGCCGGTGTACCCGGAGAGAACCCACGCATGCTCAGGGAGAACATGCAAACTCCATGCAGAAAGACCCAGAATTCGAACCCAGAACCTTCTTACTGCAAGGCAGCAGTGCTACCCTCTGTTCACTGAGCAGCCCAGTTTTCTTTCCCCTCTTTTCACAAGGAACTCTGCCACCTCTTCTTATCTCTATAATTCATGAACACAGAACAAGATGCAGAACTGTATAATCTAATTAACAATCTGGAGCTGATGAGACACCCCTAATGTATGTGTGCTTGTATTTCAGTTTTTTTTTTCTTTTTTGTGCTTTGTTTATATTTTTTTAACTTTTTTGTATTGTTTTATTTGTTCTGTAACTGTGGAAGCAATTTGGGTCGGCTCGTCAAGGTTTTTCAGGTTTATATACATCTAGACACCTTGTCTACTGTATGTGATGGTTTATAATAAAAAAAAAAGTTTATGTACCGGAAGAGGATTTTATAAAGCCTAAACTAATCTGCGCATGCGCAAAGGAGAGACGCAGAGGACGTTCTTTCCTCCATGTTGACGTAGAGTGCGTGAATGCGGTAGTGGAGTCCTGGCTGTAGGTTGACGTTACAGAGATCTGTGTACAGACAGAACCCCTACCAGCCACACCAGCGGGGGCCGTGGGGTCTACCAAGGAGAGCCCGAGGCGGGTTCAACCAGCATGGGGAACCGAGAGAGCGGCTGCGGCGGAGGGAGCGGCGACGAGGAGGACATGGAGACGGAGAGTCCCGGTTTCGCGGAAGACAACCTGGCCTCTGCGGCCATTGGCGGAGCCGTCGGAGGCACCGGTTCAGGGAGAAACGGAAGAGGGTCCAATAACCCCCCCGCGGCCACCGAGGGACCCCCCAGCCCCGCAGTCCTCTTAGAACAAGTGAAACTCAGAGAGGCGGCCGCCCGTGTCAGCGACTCGGGGGTCACCATTCACGAGTCCGTCCTGTCCGGGAACGAGGGCGTCCTGATCCGGTGGCTGGAGGACCGGCTGAACCGCGGCGAGGATTCCGTCAATGTTGAGCAGTTCTGTGAAATGCTGGAGAGCAGAGATGCTCCCAGGAATGAATGCGAGGAGGTACGGCAAGCAAAACAAGCCAAAAAGCTCCAGTGTGGTTTGTCATTTCTTTCTTTTAGGTCCCAGGAATGACAGTTTGACAGCTGTCAGCGGCTCCATAGCGGCTCCACTGCTGTGGACAAATGGACAGAAATAAAGTCATGTACTTTAGATAACCATGGATTACATTATAGAGTATATCAGGTGCTTTTATCTCCAGGTTCAGCCTCTTTGTTGTTGCTTTGCTGTGTGCTGACTGACAGCCAGGTGCTGTTAGATAAGTTTCTGCTTAAGTCTGCATATTTGATTCTCTGCGGGCTGACAAAGAAACCTCTCCTCTCTTATGGGTGAATTTCCTCAGCAAAACGTTTAGATGCTCACAAACAAACAAGCAGAAAGCTTTCATTTCTATGAGCCAGTAGTAGTATTTGCATGTGTAAAGTGCGGTTGAGTTAATGGGATTGATTTTGTCTCCATGTAAGGGTGTGTCATTTTCTTTCTCCCTGATCTCAGGCGTTTGGACAGTTTGATGCAGAGGGGGATGGAGTGGTGGACATAGAGACCATGCTGATTGCACTAAAGAACTCCAATGGAGCTAATCTACAGGGAGAACTGAGTCATGTGATAAGACAGCTCCAGGCGTGTTCCCTAACACCAGGTATGTATATTGGCAACAGGTCCCATAAACCTCACGCTGTTTGGTCCATGGATTGTATTTTGGAACAACCTTATGTGATGGTACACAACATACATAATGCTTGTATAGTTAAGGGAAACCGATGCTTTGGTTTGTATTTTGAAATCTTGAAAATGTGGCATAAAGGCTTATTTAGGCCATCTTTGTTGACTTATCCTAAAAAAAGAATGAAAAAAACAATGTCTACCTTTTTCCACTAATTGAAATCCCTTTAAATCCACATTAACATGAATTAAACACACTGTAGTAAAGAGATCATTTATCAGAAGGCAGAAGATGTCTTTCAGTCATCAATGCACACATTCAGAGACACACAGGAGCTCTTTCAAGCTGGGCACCGTTTCATTCACAACACCTGTCCATCAACCAGGAATCAGAATCAGAAATACTTTAATAATCCCAGGGATAAATTACTTTTGTTACATAATCTGTAATAGAGTGACTATAGGACCAGTTTGATAGAAGCTCCATCTCGCCATCAGTTTGGGGTCCTTGGCCTGGAAAACGTAGAAGACTCCTGGACTAAATATCACAGGGTAGTCTATGAAAAAAGTGGTCCAACTCCAACATGACTGGCATCATATATAGACAGACTGAGAATGTGGAGCATCGATCAGAGAAGCAACATAACAGCTGTTCTGTCTCTGTTTAGGAGGGAGAATCTGTTCACAGAATTACTATTTGTTGTCCAATACATAAATAAAATGATTGTTGATCTAAAAATAGACAGAAATGGTAATGGAAAAGACAGCAAGGAATAATCAATGGATCATTATCTATACCTAAAACTAATATATTTGTGGTAATTTAATGAATTTAGCGTTAATCTATGGAGTGAATTTTCTGCCAAAACATTGCATACAAAAAAGCATGTTGCACACACATAAAGACATAGAGAAATTATAAGTTAATATAAACACAAGTATAGATTTAATTACTTAATTTGACAAAGGCTTAAGTAATATTCCCACTGGGTTTAGTCTATAATATGCTCACATACACTCTATTTACTATTTCATTTTGGTTATAGGTATAGGGTTGACAACAGTTTTCAATGGGGTGAGAACATTTAGACACCATGAAACGGCAAGAAAGGTGTTGAAACGAACAAGGAGCTGCTGGCTTTCAGAGAAAGGAGTAGCCGCTGGTTTCAGCTTCCTGTTTTGAAGCCAACGCTTGTGTTTTCTTTTTTTAATTAACATCACTGGTGATATTCTGGTATAACATGTGAAGGGAAAAATAAAATAACCGCTCATCTTTCATAAACAAAACATTACTGAAATTTTATATTTAGTAGGTTGGAAATGAGGCGGAATGAACTCGATCAGCTCTTTGTACTCCGTGCGCGCTCAAAGCGAGGGGATACAAAATGTTGCAGGGATAACTACATCGGCACCTGCATGTTTAACTTGTTTTGTTTGGATGGCGCCTCCTGCTGTCGGTTAGTCAGAATGACAAATCTTCATCT